TTTTAGCAGGAAGGGTTTGCAAACTCCCTTGGCTGGCTTGGCCTAGCTCTCTTCAGCAGCTGTGCTTCTGTAGTTACCAGTCAATGTTCTCAGTCTTATTTTTGTCTCTCAAACTCTTATTTTTGGTTTAATCTTCCTAATCTTCTTCTGGGGTTGCCTGCCCCCTTATCAAGCTAAGAATAGCCTGTTGCTGCTGCTGCTGAACATGAGTATGCAAACAAATGCACGCACACACACCCCCGTCTTCCCTCTTCATCCTGCCTGGCTGTGCAGAAGGCTTCCTGTGACCACACAGACCACATGGACAAGCTATCTTATGCTATTTTCAATTAACCAGCTCAATTCAACAGTATTACAGTTGGATTTCACAGGCTACATTCTATTAGCTGTAATAGAGGAGATACCTGCCAAATGAGTGGAATGGCACATTTTTAAAAAGCTATTTGATCAAATAAGAAAACCAGAACCCAAATTTAGATTTGGTTCAAAGTCTCAGGATTTGATCTGGTGCAGATTCATTCTTATGTTCTCTTGTCTAATAGCTTTTGTTAAACAAAAAAGTTAGATAAACATATATAGATAGTATCTATGTGATTAATTAGATAATAGACTATTAAAGGCTTGGTTTTTATCATAGCTTTAAATACAGACTCTATTCTTACAGCCATAATTTTTCTCAGTGTTCACAAACTGAACCCATATTTTTTGGCCATAGAGAACTGAAAATGTAAATATTAGCAGTTAGATGCAGACAAAAAAGGAAAAGAAAAAAACAGTTAAGTTTCTCCCTTTATGCCCACAATTCTTTACAATGACATGAGTGCAATCATGTACGGGTTCAAAACCATGCCCACAAAAAGAGGCCAAAAGCTGAAGAAATTTTAGAAAATTAAATTTACTGTCATTGTTAGTTTTTTCTGTTAATTTCTACTTTTCTCACATTTCAGTCAGAGAAAATATTCAAGTCAGGTTCTCATGCACTAACCCAATACCTGCAAAACACTTAACAGTTTATGTACTGAGAACCACCATGTTGGTCTGTATGTCTGTAAGTTATTTGTGTTACACTTACACTGGATGCTCTGTGGATAAGTCTTCGTGTTCTGTGTTTGTACAGTGTCAGAGATAGTGAGGTCCTGGTCCATGACTAGAGTTTCGATAGACACTGGTATTAGCAATAATAAATAATAAAAATGCTATAGTGTAGCAATGTAATCACTGCTGAGGTTGCCATTTATTTGTTTAACGCACATGAAAATTCTAAACTGGACCCCAAAATACTATATGATTGGCTTAAAAGTTTTGAGATTTAAAAAAGAACAGATATTGTTTCTTTGATTTTTGGTGTTGAAGACTTTAGGATTCATATTTTCAAGCTTTTCTTCACAGCCAAGAGAAACTGAAATTTACTTTATTAAAATGAAAGCTGAGATTCTCAGGAAACAGTGATTCCAACAGAAGGAGCTGTGAGAAAAAAAGTCATGTTGTAACTTTTTAAGTAAAATTACCAGTTAGCAACACTGCAAAGCATTGCCATGGGACAGTTTCAATATCATGAAAATATCTGTCAGTCTCAATTAGCTTTGATTCATCACATAGGTCCTTCTTTAATTATTATTTCTGTTTCGATGGTCAATGGACAACCTTAAGTTTCAAAATGCCTTTATTTAGATATCCAAATATTAATTTAGGATTTACGGATTTCGGTTTTGTGGATTTAGAAGCCAGACACTAGCATTTGAATATTTTGGTCATCAGACCTAGAACTGGGGTTAAGCTTCCTTCTAATGCTAATATCCACTTAAGCAACTCAGCACCTGCAAGAACAGGAGGAACTGCTAAAATCAGTTAATCAGTTAAAATCTATAAAGAAGAAATGCTAAAATCAGTGTAAGATGCTAGGACAATGGTGACATTCTATGAAACACAAGTAGAAATGGCAGGTTCCAGTGGATTTATAAACATATCATCTGTTGAATCTAGGTTAAGTCCAAGGACAGCATTTGTGTAGAACACATGTGAAAGAGGTTGTCAGCTTTCCAAATGGATATCCTAACTGCAGCAGACAGTGAAAACCACAAACCATCTGCACCACAAGTCCACTCTAGTCATAATGCCAATGCTAATGTGTGTGTACAAAACTGTCTAGGTTTGTAGCATTAAATACTTTACATGATTTGCTATATCAATATACAGAAACAGGGATTCCCCCTGAATAAAGGCACATGCTCCCCGAGGTCATGAACACATGTTTTATATTCATGAAAGCATTTATTATTTTTTTAGGCTAAGTATAGACAGAGGCTGAATTGATTCAATGTTTGCTGGTTAGTCTAAGCTGTGTAGGCTGAACTGATAATTAAAATGAACTGACATTCACTTTTGAATCCGGAAAGATAGCCAGATGCCTCCAGTGGCCCAGGCCAAAAGCCAGGGGGTGCTAGAGCATGCTTCCCAGCCTGCCAGACACTGGCGAGGGCACCCGAATGCAGCTGAGAGGGGCCCATCCCTGATTGGCTGCCCAGCACATGCCCCACCCAACTCCTTGCTCCCCCGACCCCCAACAGTCCCTCCAGCCCAGGGCCCAGCCCATGGTGGGGGACACCCAAAACTCAGCAGGGATTCTTGGCCAGACATGGTCCTCCAAACCCTGCAGCTGGTGCAGAGGGGGAATTCACCCATCCCACCCCTCAATATGGTCCAGTGCCAGCTTAGTCCCTCCAGCCCAGAGCCAAGAAGGTGCCTGGCATCAGCCCACAAGGGGGATCCCCAGGCTTCAGTGGGGGGTTCCCCTTCCCTGGGGACTGTTCCTCCCCGACACCTGTGGTGGTGGGACTAAGCCAGGGTTGGGCAAAATGTGGCCCGGGGCCAGATGCGGCCTGCCGGGCCATTCTATCCAGCCCACAGGGCCCCTCAAAAATTTTGAAAATTAATATTAATCTGCCCTGGGCTGCCTGTCATGTGGCCCTTGATGGCTTGCCAAGCCTCAGTAAGCAGCCGTCTGCCCAGAATAATTGCACACCCCTGGACTAAGCTGTCGCCAGACCCCTGAGAGGGGTGTGAGGGGGAAATTCCCCCTCTCTGCACCATGGCAGAGCTCAAGGGACCCTGCCTGGGAAAGAAGATTCGCCCCATGTGGGTTGATGCTCAGTGTCAGCTAGGGCCCAGGCTGGAGGGACTGTTTTCCCTCGCACCCATGGCAGCAGGGCTAAGCTGGTGCTGGACCATGCTGAGGACTGGGAGGAGTGAATTTCCCCTCTGTACCAGTGGAAAGGCTCAGAGCACCCTGCATGGAGTGGGAACCCCACCTCCCCCTGTTGAGGCAGAGGGATTCCCCCATGTGGGCTGGTGCCAGGCACCAGCTCAGCCCCAGGCTGGAGGAACTGTTTCCCCAGCACCTCCATGGAGGGGTAGGAGGGGGGAATTTTGCCTCTGCATCAGCTCTAGGAACTCTGACTAGGGCAGAAGAACCCCACTGAGGCTTGGGGATCTAGGCTGGCCCTGGGCTGGAGGGCCTGCTCCCTCCTCCCTGCCACCTGCGCATCAGTGACTTACACTGACCGGGGGGGCGGCAAGGGCAGACCCTAACATACCAGGGCTCTGGCTGGGGCTACAGGAGGCTCTCTTCCCCCACCAGGCTAACAGGCACAGGCAGGACCAGGGCTGCAGAAAGGAGGCTTTGCTGCCTCAGCTCTGTGACAGCCCAGGGGAGCAGACAGCTTGAGCCAAGCCTAGCCCATCCACTCTGCAAGGGTGGGGGCGTTGTGGGGGAGATGCAAAGCAGCCTGGGATGCTGGGGGACTGTGAGTTAATTTAAGTCAGGAGAGCATCTGTGACACAAGTTTGATAGGCTGGTTTACCCTGAGTCAGTTAAGTTTGATACATACACACAGGTCTATCTTAAACCAGTTTCAGCCATTTTGAAAGCAGCTTGTGTGCACTGAGTTTCTGTTCTGTTACAGTTTAAACCAGTTTCTGATCACTTATACTGGTTTATGTGTAATGTCTGTCCCTAGCCTTAGTTACCAGCTTCTTTGCTGAAGCAGAACAAATGCCTGCAGTGAAAGTGAGGTATTTCCAAGGGAGATCCCTCTGGAAAATCTTAGTTTCTACCACCCGGCCCACAACACAGGAGGAGCAGAAGACATCACTGTGAAGGTGTGAGGGGTGTGTACTGGAATAAAGGGGATGGCAGTTTATTAGGAAAATAAGAGATTCAAAATTGCTAAGTGCCCAAGGGTTTGTCCAGATATTCATAGCTTGTTATTTTCACCCCTCAAACTACTCTTCATTTCATGGATCTTTATTCCCCCTGGAAGTTCTGGGACTACCACAGCAGAATCTCAGGTGAAGTGGTTGCCAACACTTTTAGGCTCCAGGGAACCCCTTGCTAAACTCTTGACACCTTTCAGAAAATTATAGCTCTTAGCTTTTGCTCATTTCTTGACTACAGAAAAATAATAATGCAATTCTTCTGTTGCAAAGGCCTCAGAAACACAACAGGTCAGAATGTTCTTGACAGTGGGCATACCTACACGAGGTGCTTAATGAGCCAAAGACTAATTCTACTGTGCGTTAGCGCAGTGGGCAAAGCCCATCCTAATGTGTTAATGCACAGTAGATTTAGTCTAATGTGCAGTAGCATCACAAAAAAAAACTATTCATCAGTGTTAATGTACAGTAGCACTGATTACAGTGCATTTAGTCTCTGACATTACAGGTACTAAACTTAATGCACTGTAATTACAGTGCATTAATGATCTAGTAGACACACCCACTATGTATTCCTACTTCAAATCTCTAGATTTGTCTTGTGCATAGGTGTTTGCATGCCTAACAGCGCTATTACACAGCTCCCCTGGGTACACTTAAATGGATCTCATGGCTTCTCAGGATGAGGTGGCACCCTGGTTGAGAATCTACCCCAAAAAAAGAAAACAGGGGTATATATATATATATATATTCTTGTACATATTAAATGCCATTATGCAGTGACTTACCAACATCTTGAGAATTCATTCTAGCACCGGGCTGTTTAAAGGGATGCACCACTTTTATATCTGCTGGTGGCAAATAAGATGGTTTCAGGCTAACTGTGACTGCAACCTTGCCAGTAAATTTGTTGGCTCTCCAAATCATACCAGTTTTCAACTCTGTATAGTACAAGTGCTCAGCAAACAGAGATATGCCAAACAAATGTCGTCTGGAGCAGAAAGAAAACAACAAGTGACATGTTATTTCATTGCCATTCATTCACCTGCTCATAAATTTATCCCGAGAACATCAAAGCTTGGCTCATTTTTCTATATCACTTATGTTTACTTTGAATACCCTGACAATTTTTGTTTATCACAAACTACAAAAATGTGAAAAACATTGTGGAAGGAACCAATCCAGCTAACTTCCCCTATTTCCTTGGAAGAATTTAAATGCCTGCTACTGGCCCCCTCAGAACTAACACAAAGATGATCAAAGGCTTTAAAAATAAGTCATAC